CCAATCAGCAGGATTCGACGTGCAACCAATTCCCGGCAAGAGCACAGAAATCACCCTACGACGCTCCAGGCAACGCTATGTACACACGCAATTCCGCTTGTAAGCCGTTGTCTTGCAGAGTGAAAGTAATCGTGGTTGCAATGGTTGCAATAATCACGCGTCTCTAGCTTCTTTATCTCGCCGTTTCGAGTGACGAAAGTGGTATATTCTCTGCGAATGCGGACAACGATGCCAAATGCACAGAGGCATTTCACGGACCACTTGATCGAGGGAACTGTCTTTGAGATGAAGTACGCAGCTACTGCGTCTCAGGGGTATAAAGTCTTAACCCCCTTTCCGCACAATTTCCTCAACATCTCATGCGAATCGGCATTCACCGCTGGGAGATTAGTTTAGAGATAATTAAGGCTGCAAGAGTTCAGGTGTGCACAAACTCAAAACTGTCACACAAAAAAATTGCGAAAAACATCCTCATCATTGAGCAGTGGTCACCTAACCCGAAGCTCCTTCTTTTTTCACGTCATACGATACGCAACATGTCCTCACACCCAACATTCACGTTAACGGACGCTAATTACCCTAATGGGGAGGGGTGTGGATATTTCGAGTAATAGATACGAATATGATACAAGAAATCTGATACCACTGCGAAATGATACCAAATTCATTTTTAATGGCCACGTGACGAGGGCCCATCAGAACAGTCCTTCTTCCGCCAAATTAGTACCCGATCGTGTAGGAAGTACTAGTAGTACTACTAGAAAGGCATCGAATCGTCCGTCGAACATCCTAAGCCGTGTATGAAGAAACTCAGGCATATGCAGCGGTTCTCAGCCTTGGGGAACAGACGGCTAGAGGGGAGGCTAGAGACTGTTTGCTGTGTGAGAGTCACTCTCTACACTTCTCTCTCATTCCCTCTCTTCACGTCTCTGGACCATCTCTAACCCTAAGTTTTGACTATGCGGGAGGAATACCAGAGCCCAGCTTCTCGAACGGCGCACCCAGAGCTACAGCAAGGTGATGCATGAATGGCGGTGTCGAACTTGTCCCCACCCCCCCCCCTGCACGACGAGTCCCTCAGGGAAGGGTCGTCCTACCGAGACTAACTTCTTGCGAGGACATTCGCATGCAAACTATAAACAGCAATCACTTTGAGAAAATGATCCTATAGCAACGATAGTTCAAGATACAGTCCACGCTGAGTGTGTGGGCGGAGTCGGGCTTGAACACCTAACATGTGCACCCCTTCTTTTCAAGGCGATGCGACGGACGGGTACGCCCGACTCCGCCCATGCGACCATTTCTAATCCGCCCATGCAGCACCGTAGAGTTCCTATCACTAGAATTTCTATACAAAATCAACAGAATAGAAAAGTAATTCAAACTTTACTTGTTCGTTATATTCAATACAACTTGTAATGTGTACACAATGAGATCAGTTCTTGAAGCTTCGAGGTAAACAAATGAAAAAGCAGATAAACAAATCAAGTAACTAAAAGAAACAAGCTCCGATTCCAAGGAAATATGTACATTTCATCCAATAGCAAGATTCAATGGCTGTTTCGGACTACGTATGGCAAAGAAGCTTGATACAGTCGCAACAGAAAGCTTGATCGCTGCGGAGGAAGGGGCGTGTCAGGGAAACTGGGTTTGGCGCGGCGTCAGCCACTCCTCTACCAGCTGCCGAAGCGGGGCAAGCTGGAGTTATGTTCAAAGGAGCGGTCGTGCTTCCCAAATGAATTCTAAGAGAAGGTTTGACGACGAGGATTATGGATACATCATTCGAAACAACTTCTTAGAAAGCAAAGGCGCTTTTCAAACATAAGAGAATCACTTTGAGCTAAACAGAAAGGTGGATAGAACCAAAAAAAAACTACCCGTAATGCAGTAAGTGGGCGATGACAGAAAGTAACAGTAGGACTACGTATTTAGACGGTTGTTTCGATCTTTTGTGCAGCTCGCATACGCTCAAGGGTAGCACTGAAAATATAAATATAAAATAAATATATAAATAAAAATAAATAAATATAAAATAAATATGAAATTAAGCAGTTTCATGAACACTGATGGACCTTTTTCTCTCCATTTTTTTTTCTCACTACGACACCTTCGAGGGCGTGGAGAGGGATGTTTAGCTTAGTTCGGTACCGGATGAAGATGAAATGGTAGTCAGTTGTTCATATTTGTTGTGGGAGGCAGGGTGCAGTGGTAAGTAGCAAGCTACCTCACGCGCGGTCTAGGCGTGGGGTCGAATCCTGGGACGGTTCTTAGGCCAGCGAACTCTCCCCCGCCTCCCGCTCGGGTACCAGAGGACCGACTGCCGTCGATTGTCTTTTCCCCGCATAGGCCCCATCGCACTCTGTAATGAGCTACTACACTTTTACTAGGAAGTAAAAAATCCCAGGAGGGTAAAAGTCTAATGTTCTATACGTAGTGTTTTTAGGATCATCCGCGCTAATGGTGTGGCGAGCCGGGCGTGTTTCGAGTATGCATGCCAACGAGGACACGCATAGTGTACACCTTGGCCTCTAACGCACATTATGCCTTAGAAAGATGCGAAATATCAGTTCAGAAGCTTCAGATCAAATGAAACCGTATATGAGAACAGCGTGACTCAGATTACGCTGTAGCTATACAGCTTGACCCATAAATCGCTCACATTCAGTGTCAGGCATTTATTTATTTATTTATTTATTTATTTACACCATGAGGTGTGCCACAAATTGCTACCCTAGGATAAACGCGCTGAAACTTAATATTTCAACTAAACACTGAGACAGACAGACATCCTGACCACTTTAGCGGAGGTGTGCCCACAGTTGTCTCGGACCGTCACTGCTAAGGCCGTTTTATACCCGGCAAACAGCCTGCGCTGCAGCCAAAAGTGGCTGCGAAGGAAATAGCGTTCAATTAGAGAGACAAGAGGACGTCAGAGTACCATAGCGCCCGCCAATGGACTTCTCGAACTCAATCGCTTCAACCGGGTCAACTTTCCGTTTTTCTCTGTACTCTCAGGTCTCCATGAATTCTATCGGCTTGTTCTCTGCGAATGCTCGGGGTGTCGGGAAGGAAGGCTGGGTTTGGCGAGCCTCCCAATTGTGGTGCTTGCCCTCTTATTAGTGGGAAACAGGTCGACGCCGCGCCAAACCCAGCCCCCTGGCACGCCCCTGCATCCGCAGCGAAAACAAGACTGAATCACCACTGTGATTTCACACATTCCAACTTTTCACACATGATGAGCGGGTCATCAATCCGAAATCCTCTCCAACTGAAGAAGCTCATCCTGTAGCTCGCAACATGTTTGTTATAAGTTTAGGATAACAGCGGTATACAGTATCCAAAATTGGCGTCAACTTAAGTGCTCAAGACCAGGGAGGAAACACAAAAACCGTTCGGTTAGGCAGCACTTGGCTACGAGTGGAAGCGGAAGTAGCGCCGCTCCTACTTCCTTCCAACGTACCTCAAACTTCTGCAACTTAAGCGGCTATACCCACTTGTGTGTTTCCACACGACCGACACATTCAGTTTCACGCGTAATTTTCGGGTACTGTATACGCCTGTCTTCCTAAGCTTAGTTTTATGCGTTCTTGTTCGCAAATGTTCTTCCCAATGGTGTCACTTCAGGAAAACAGTGTTGTAAAAAAAAAGGGTCCCTGGCAAACTTGCGTATGAAATATAGAAGCTCTTGGGAATGAGTTTTAAGAAGTGCGGAGCGAGGGGTTGAAATCTGCTTTCTCCACTTTAGCTCAGGGCCGTCTATAGCGCCGCGGCTGCTAAACCGATCAACCGTTTCTGGATATTCAGCGTCAATTACGGTGTCGTGGCATACTTTTCAAGAGCAGATACAGGCACTTTACAGGGCGAACCTTGAAATTGCTGTATAAAAATTAATTTCAATTGCTGTGTTTGATAAGATTCGAAATTAGGCCATGTTCGTCAACGCCATTCCGATCCATTAACAAGTATAAAAATAAAAATTGTTAAAAATAATAAGTACAACAAATAATAAATAATTAAAAATTGATAATGATAAATTCTAACAGCGTAAATGCCCAACTTACGTCGTTTGTACACTGGCATCAAGAGAATTCGGCAATTCGACTGGATCAAAAACAGAGTCGTTAAGGCCGCCCCATGATCGACGTTTTGCTTCACATTCCTCCTGGGCATGTGATGAAGGACCAGGATGTAATTGGTATTCGTTGAGTTCTTCCTTAAAAGGAATTGCTTAGGACTATCGATGATCCAGCAGGACTGCTTACCTTCAACCTTTGCAGCTTCGCAGAATGGCTGTTGGTTCGTGTCCGGCCAGGTGAACCGAGTTCAGACTCGGTTATGGGATAGACACTCTAAAATACTTCAAAAATGTCATCTTTCTAATATCCTAAGCTACAGCCTACTGCAGTCCT